CCTAGAGTAGTAGTACCAATGCCCGGGTCGGGCGGGAAACACCGGTAACAGTCACCCTCATCACTTATAGTCACAGCATACATGGCAGCAAGGATAGCATCAAAGTCAAGATCAAAGAAAGCTACACCAGCCCTAGACAGCTCTCCCCAGCGGGGGATCTCCGCGGCCTCCGGGAACTGCTGGCGCCAAGCATCCGTCAGGCGGCCAAAGCAGGGCTGGGCGGTGTGGGTACCCCCACACTGCTCTCCAACGCGGTCGCCAGTGCGAAGAACGTAGGTGCAGGGACCAAAACCCCCACCACGCTGACGCTGCGTGTACCACTCACGGAGCTGCTGAGGGGTGGGGACGTCGCGAGAACGCTGCTGCTGCTGCTGGAGCTGACCACCCCCAGTGCTGCTCCGCTGCGAAGCGCCACTCCGACCACCTCCACCACCGCCACCCCCGCCTCCGCCTCCACCACCGCCACCTCCGCCACCTCCGCTCCCACCGCCACCGCCGCCGCCACCCCCGCCTCCACTGCCGCCACTAGCACCTCCACCCCCGCCAACACCTCCACCGCCACCCCCACTCCCTCCGCCGCCTCCACCTCCACCTCCACCGCCCCTGCTGGCCCCACCCGCTCCCTTGCCCCCGCCGCCCTTGCCAGGGCGGCGTCTCCCGCTAGGGGCAGACGCCGCACCGACCGACTCAAGACCAACGAGGTCGGCCGCAGCGGCACAGGCGACAGAGGGCAAGAGAGGGGAAGGAGAACACCCCTCAAAGATGGGGGCGCGGGGGTCACCTCGAGAGGCTCCTACAGCGACTATGCTCTTCTCCGCCGCTAGGAGGGCCTTCTCGAGGCTGTCGACTGTGAGAGTGGTGGGACTGACCGCGAGGAAGTGGTCCCGGACTACACGAAGGGAGTCAGGGAGGCGAGTGACTAGAGAGTAGAGAGTGATGTACATGGGGGGGGGGGTTCTTCGCGCAGAAGTCAGCAGGAAGCGCAGCGCGGTAGCGGGTGTCACTAGTGCGGAGGTGCGTAATGAGATCAGCGACAGTGGGAAAGGCGGCAAGGTCAGGGAATTGGAAGGGGAGCATGAGGCGGCTCAGTGCAGCAGTGGCAGGGGAGGAGTAGCGCGCAACTACAGCGTCGTACAAGGTCTGAGCACTCTTGTACTGACTAAAGTGCGCACGCTCAGCGGTAGGCAGGTGGCGACGCACAGCAAGACGTGCAGCAGCATCGCGTGTGGCCCACTTGGAGCGAACAGTGGGGTCAGCATCAGCAGCAGGGGCAGGGACGGCGCCAGAGGTAAGGTCAAAGAGAGAAAGGTCGTCTACCCTATCGCACTGCAAGAACAGCTGCAGGTCGTCAACCCAGACCTCAAAGTCAATGGCACGACCCTCAGCGTCAAAAGCTAGGACACTAGGGGTAGCCATGACTGCAGTCGGCGGTCTCACCAGACAGGACGGGTCGGGCAGCTCAGCAGCACAGCAAAACGGCAGCTCGGCCGGCCCAGCAGCAACAGCAGCACCTCGGGACCAGCGGCTCTGCTCCTCAGGTGGCTCGGGCGTCTCGGGCGTCGCAGGCGGCTCGGGCGGCTCGGGCGGCTCGGGCGGCTCGGGTGGTCAGCGGCACAGGCGGCTCGGGCGGCTCGGCTCCTCAGCTGCGCAGGCGGCTCGGGCGGCTCGGGTGACGCAGGTGGCACGGGCGGCTCGGGCGGCTGGGTGTCACAGCGACGTACGGGCGGCGTGGGGCCGGGACGGCGGCGCACGGCTGGGATGGGTGGCGCACGGGCGGCTGGGAGTGGGGCCGGGACGGGCTGCGCACGGGCGACGAGGGGCCGGGACGGCTGCGCGCGGCCGGGACGGGTGGCGCACGGGTGGCGTGGGGCCGGATCGGGCGGCGCACGGCGTCGAGGGGCCTGACGGGCAGCGCGCGGGCGTCTAGGGGGCCGAGACGGGCGGCGCGCGGGCTCTAAGGGCAGCGCGTGGGCGGCGTGGGGCCTGGACGGGCGGCGCGCGGGCTCTAAGGGCAGCGCGCGGGCAGCGTGGGGCCTGGACGGGCGGCGCGCGGGCTCTAAGGGCAGCGCGCGGGCGGCGTGGGGCCTGGACGGGCGGCGCGCGGGCTCTAAGGGCGGCGCGCGGGCGTCTATGGGCCGTTAGGGCAGATCGAAAAAAGTAAGAGAGAGGGCCCGGAGCGCGCTCCGGGCAGAAGAAAAGTTCGATGTGGTGGGCCCTAAGCACAGTTCCCACGGGGGAACCTGCTCGATACCATGAGAAAACTAGAACGAGAATGAATCAACTATGAATGAAGTGAGTACATATAGGAAACCCTGATTGGGTTGTACCTCCTATGGGATACGCCACTATAGCCTACACAAATATATATAAGCTATAATGTTCTGACACAAAGCAGGGCGGGCGTTGCGGCTTGAGTGGCATTGGTGACATGATGGCCTGTTCGCCACTTGTCGGCGCGAACTCCACGTGCCGACAGGCTTCGCGAGGCTCTCGCGGGCTTGGTGCGACCCTGTTTTCTCCCATGCCAGGCATCGGCTGGGCGGCGCCATCGCTGGCTGCGCCTGAGCGTTGTCCCACGCTGTTGTTTTGTGTTGGTGTGCCGGACGAGATGACGATCGGCTTGTCTGATTGTGCAGATGCATTTGTCGGTGCATGTGGTGGCACTGGAGTGTGCATCGTTGATTGCTGACACGCGGAGTCACGTTCCGCCGTGAGCGTCGCAATTTCGAGCGCCGAATCTTCGAGTTGGCGCACCAGACGGTCGAGCTTCTCCTGCGTCAATGTGGCGAGCGTAAATTCGGCCATAGAGGGGTGTCGGGCGAGCTCGGCGAGAGCCTCGGTCATGGCCGTGCGTGCTTACGAGAGATCACTACGAGCGGCAGTGCTGTGTCGCTGAGAGACGTCTACCCCCCCCCCCCCCCAAAAATTGAGATAGTGGGGAAGCGAAGGTGTGGGTGCGGTCCGAGAAGAGATCGTATGCTCTGAATACCAAGTGTTACGAGTGCAATTGAGTGAACGAACAAGAATTGCACTATCGAAGCAAGAGTACAATGAGCGAAGGCATGAGCGAAGAATATATAGCGAAACTACAGTGGTAACGGTAATGGACTGTGGTTGTCGCGTGGCAGGCCTGGGACTGAGGTTGGGAAAAGTGTCGAAGCGGAGGCCCGGAGCACGGGTTACTCGCCGAGCCGTGAGGTCGGGGTGCGACGTGCGAAGATGGCGGGCAGATTGTCGATGCGAGGGTTGCGAGTGGTAACGGTGCTGACCGTGGTGCTACAGTGATGTACGCGTTGAGCAGGGATGCGAAGTAAGGAAAAGGAATTTTCCTTACAATTTTGATGTTTATAATAACTTCTAATAATTTGGAAGAAACGCTCGGACGTTGCCAATCGCGAGGCAGCCTTCTTCGTGAGACACAACGTACAAAACGTATGTCCTTAGGGTGTGTCCAGAGTGCCTCTCGACATCCATCCGTCATCCATCCGTCATCGGATGGATGACGTTGGCGGATGACGGGGGATGACGGATGGATGACGGTTGGATGTCGAGTCACTTCGGGCACACTGCCGGTGACATAACTGCCCAAAATAATGCCGGCCGGCACTGCTGGCGCTGGCAGGGGCAGACCAGAGAAAATGTTAAATGTTCAAATTTGAATCTAACGAATTTCGCTAACATGTTTCGTCACCCCGTGCAGTCACAAAGGACGGTCGTTTGCCAAGAGATACTTTCGCCATGTTTCCCCCTCAAAATTTGTTATCAAACTTTGGGTTCGTTGACTGCCTCGTTGACCAGCCCGATGTCACTGTTGGTGGCACCCTTGACTGTAATGGTTACACATGGCTGGATGATTGATGGATGTCGGTCGGATGTCAAATCACTTCGGACACAACGCCGGCCTGTAAATTCTCACCTACCCACCCTGACATCCGTCGACATCCAACGACATGTTACTTCGGACACGCCCTTACACCTGAACAAAGGGCGGCGTTGTGGTAGCTCCCTCTCTCGCTCTCTACAAGGCGACAAAGGGGTACTTAAAGGGTTTACTAGGCACCGTATGTTATGTGCTGCATCCCTTGTAGGTTAGCTAGGAGGCATCTTGTTCTACGTCGGCATCCCTTTGGGTTGACTTTCGCTCTTTTTTTTTTGGGTGCCCTCGGGAAACTCGCTTGCGTGGAACGAGACGCTGCTGTTTTACGTGGGGCACCAGAACCCGTTCTTTACTCGCGGACAAAGGAGCACCTACGTTGACATTGGCACGTATTCTCTGCGTCAGCACGGGCACGGGCCTTGTACAGCACCGCCGTGGCTGCTGCCAAAATAATCAACGGGTCCTTCAGAACACAGCTGGCGCTGGCTGTCGAATGGACCTCTCAGAACATATGGGTGACAAAGTCCGGCAGAACATGTTCATTCCTATTTGCACGGCACCGACACTGTGTTGGCACCGTACTGCGTCGGCACCGGGCGTAGGTTTATGTGGCGTCCCCGGCCTAGGCCCTTGTACAGCAACCCCAAGCCAATGTAGTCAACGGATCCTTAGTACAGCAACGCCGGCCCCCGTACGAACCGTTTCAGAGCATACGGCGGGCGCCAACGTCGCTACGTGGGCACCAGAACGTAACGTTCGTCATTTGCGGGCAAGGGACGTTGGCACGGCATCCCCATGGCTGCCCAGCGTTATCACCTGAGAGCCAGGGCACCCCTTTGGGTTGACATTCGCTGCTGCTGTTGATCTGACCTGGCCGCTCCCTCCAGGGGAAGGCTCCACTTTGAGGCGCAACATGGCCGTGGGTTGCGTGAAAGCAGTGAGTGCCATGTATCTCAACATAAATGCGTTTCTTTCACAGTCAGTACCATCACTTCACCTTTGGGCCTGTTGAGTTCGATCAACACACCCCCCTCCTGCAGATCACTCCTCGTTCTCAGCGTCCCTATTATCGCTATCTCGCACATTCTCCCGCTCCCAGTGCCTTCAACACACGATCGCGACAATGGCTTACTCTCGGACGGCCGCCGTGGTCGTGCTGCTGCTGCATGCGGCGTGCCTCTCATCGCCGCATCGTCTGGTGGCAGGCCACGTGTGGCCTCTCAGAGAAGAAGCTTCTTGCCGCGAGATGGCCGTCAAGGCGCCTCGTGAGTGTTCTAACCAGTCGTCTGAGGATCTGCACTGCAGTCGTCCGTCTTTTTTAACTCGCACTGCCCATTCCATCCCAAACTCTTTTAACAGTTTAATCTCCCCATGCCGCCCGTACTTATCTCATATCCCTTCCCCCCTCCCCACCGCCAGCCACATGCCCCGCTGGCGTGGTGTGCCCGACGGGAGCGTACTGCGTGGTGGACAGCGGCGGCTTCCCCTTCTGCAAGTGTCTGAGCGGGGAGGGCATCATCAACAGCGGCGCGTGCATCGGTGCCATGAGCTGGAAGACGGTCGGCACGAGCGTCGTTCTCTACAACAAGGCCTCCTTCGCCAACTCGCCCGCCACGCTCGCACCCGCCGTGCTGCGCGCGCCGGCGCCCAACTCGTCGGTGTGTCGGGTCGTTCCAAAGGGCTTTAACGGCACGGTGGGGTCGCTGCGGATTATGTGGAACGTGGATGACGGCGCCAAGGACCACCTCATGTGCGGCAAGCTCGTCTTCTGGGACAAGCCCGACTGCTCGGGTTCTTCATTTGTGTATGAGATTCCCGGCAAGTGGACGGCAGCCAAGGCCGACAAGTTCAACTACGCCACCACCAGCGTCAAGCGAGTGGCCGTGGTGCAGCACCGTTGCATTGGCCTTGGCTCTGCGTCTGCTGATTGCGTTGACCGTGGCTCTCTGCTTGTGTTGCGTGTTGACTGCACTAATCGTGACTCTCTCTGCGTGTGTGGGCTGGTGGCACGGATTGCGTGGTGGCGACAGGCAGGTCCTTCTCGTGTCTGGCGTCCGTGAAGCCGCCTGAAACGGACCTCTCTGCCACGGCGGCATGCCCGCCCAACTCCAAGTGCTCCCTCAAGAACAGCTCCTATGCCGTGTGCACGTGCGACCCTGGCACCACCATGGTCGACAATGGCTACTGCGTTGGTGAGTCGTCGTCATGTCGTGGAGTGGAGTGGAGTGGAGTGGAGTAGAGATGACCACGGAATGAAATTCATGCAGGGTCCCTGCTACACACGTGCATTGACTCATGATTTGCAGCCTTCCCTTCTCTCTCTCTCCCTCTCTCACCCTCTCTCTTCCCTCTCCTCTCTCTTCCTCTGTCCAATGTTACATGCTCCAGTAACTCTTCGCTCTCATCGGCCCGTATCTGCACAAAATGGCTTCATGCATGCACACCAATATGATAAATCATTTATTGTTTTTGTAATACGTTTCTTTTATGCAGAATCGTGCTCCGTCTATCTGTCTAACGGCGAGCCGTATTGTGACTGCATGGATGGCTACGAGCAGGAGTTGGTAACCGGCTCGTGCATTGGTATGTGTGCTTACATTGGCGTGTCACTATCTCTGCCTCACTCTCCCTTTCCACTTTTTCAATCTCCTCGTTTTCCTTTTCCATACTCTTCCATCCTATCCCCTCCTTCCTCCCCATTCCTCTCCACCTGTCCTTTCTTCCCGCTCCTGCTTCCTTGTTCTCCCACGGAAATCACTCCCCCGCTATTACATATCCCCCTTCCCTCTAAGCACAAAGTCACCAATCTCGCGTCTTCCGTTTTTTCCTCAACCCCCATGTTGCCTACAGGAGAAGGCCAGTGCAAGGAGTGCCTTCAGGGTACCTTTGGCATCTATAATATGTCGTACCCTTACTGCGCAACGGGCTTCACCCAGCACTCTGGTGCTTGCCTGCCAGGTGGGTACTGTGCCTCTCGGAGCCTGTGCATGCCCCATGCGATCAGCAGTTAGTACCACCACTTCGATGCGGTTTCTGCTTCACCATCATTTCAAGGAAGCGTCTAGTGCCAGAAATCTTTTTGCTGTCTTTTTTCCTTCTCTGCCTGATCGCTTCTCTTCTCCACCACTCCCCTGCGTCCAATCACCTGATGCGATTTCCAGGAGTCGTTCCGGACGTGGCTGACGTGGCCATCAGCATCTACAGCGCTCTGAACTTGGGCGGAAAGAATCCTCCCTACGTCTTCCGCCTCAAGCCCAGCAAGTGTGTCAACATTCCAATTGGCGTGCTCACGAGCAGCAAGTCGGTGGGCATGCTGTTCCGTGCGCCGGGGTCGAACCTGAGGTGCACGTCCATCATCATCTACGATGCGGTCAACTGCGGTGGTAACCAAATCAGCTCCGACGTGCCTCCTGGCAATGACGTTTCTGCCGTTCCCATTCTGTGAGTCTTTCTCTCTCCCTCTCTCTCTCTCCCCCTCTCTCTCTCCCTCTTCTTTCCCTCTCTCTCTCCCTCTTCTTTCCCTCTCTCTCTCCCTCTCTCTCTCCCTCTCTCTCTCTCTCTCTCTCTCTCTCTCTCTCTCTCTCTCTCTCTCTCTCTCTCTCTCTCTCTCTCTCTCCCTCCCCCTCTCCCTCTATCTCTCCCCCTCTCTCCCTCCCCCTCTAATCTGCCCTCCAACTTGTTTCTAACATCAAAGGTCATTATTCCGAATCGTATGCATGAACTTTCGATTAATTGCCTTATTTGAATCTCCATGTGTCTCTCATCAATAACAATGGCCTGTGGAAACCCTACTCTGTTCAGTGCCGTTTGTGGGCTGAAGAATGAGAAACTGCCTAGAAAGACATCAAGCTTTCAGATTTCGAGTCCAAGTAGAAGGCTGCATGGATCGGATGGCCTGAACTGAAGTCGTAGTTGAACCCTTCTGGGCAACAAGTATGGTAGTTCTTTGCTAGGAGTTTTCTGCTTTCCCTCCCTGTTCCCCTTCTTCCTTTCTCATTCTCCCCCTTTTCCCTTTTCCTTCCACTCTCCGTCACAACTATGGTGTGCTGTGCTGCTTTTTTTACCTCCTTATAGTGGACATGTTGGACTGAATCTCTTAACGAACCAATGTATCCTGGATAAGCCACCTCTTGAAACTAAGAGCTAACAGAGACTTCTTCTCGATAAGGTCAGATTTGTTGGGCTGAATGCCCCTTAGGATCTATGGTAGGGTCAAACTCTGGGTAGAGTGATGTAGTGGCGGAAGCGTTTTAAATGAAGTCCTTGAACCACCTTGCGCTGGTATGTGAGGGCAAAGTAAGTTGATTAAAACAAGCAAGTACAAAGGTTTATATAAGAGTACAAAGAATACGAAGAGATATAATTAAACTGTTTTGCTGTTGCGGTTCGATACAGTGCGACTCGGACAACTGCTCAATGTCGAGTCAGTAGTGTGTCCTTGCTGTCGCGCTGCACTTGTCAAGTCAAAGGTCGCTGACCTTTGACTTTCGCGTAACCTCCAGCGGTTACTTCAACCTCCAAGGGTTGACTCGCTGGTGCCTCGATATGCTTTGCTTCGCTTGTGCCTTGGTGTTTCGACATGACACAGGCGCTTAAGATTGTTTGTTCCCAACACTTCCCTTCAATTCTGGAGTGTCGCTGCTGGTGACGTGGCTTTGTCCAGTCAGCAGCATGCAGTACTCGAACTTCTGTTTTCCAAGCTTCTTGGTCAACTAGTCAGGTGCCATCTCGGACGTGGGATAGTAGGATAGTGTGAAAATAGGAAAACAGGAATGAATGAACTATGAATGAAAGCAGTACAAATATGAAACCCTAACTGGGTTGTACCCCCTATGGGATACCCCACTACAGCCTACACAGCAGTATAAGCTATAGATATGTTCTGACACACCCCCATAGGCAAAGTGGGGGAGAACAAGGGGTCACAAGACCAGTCAAGCAAGACAAAGCAAAGCTCAGGGTGGATCACAAAGTCACCACACAGTCCGAGCACAAGAGCAAGGCCAAAGGCCAGTTCACAAGCAAGAGTACAGACATATATATAAAGCTAGACAAGCAAGAGCAGGTATATATATATGTCACAGTACAAGTGAAGTCAAGAGGAGAGCAAGTGAGGCAAGACAGGCACAAGACCCAGCTGGGTGCAGAAGCGCTGATGGTCACAAGGCGCAAGTGCCTTGGTGAACACATCAGCAGTGTTGGCCTCAGAGGCCACGTACGCAAGTCGCAACTGACCACGCTGCTGCAGCTCACGAGCAAGGAAATAGCGGAGAGCAATGTGCTTCGTTCTGTGCTCCAAGCGCTGCTCTCGACACAAGGCCAGCATAGCCTTGTTGTCTACGTACAGCACTGGAGGAGAACGAGGCGGCTCTCCAAGGTCAGTCAGCAGGTAGGTGAGCCAGCGAAGCTCCTGTGCAGCCATGGCCCCGGCGTAGATCTCAGCCTCACAACTGGAGCCGAGAACCGAAGACGAGCGAGTAGACCGCCACGAGACAGAGCCGGAACCAAGGCTGAAGGTGTAACCCTGTGACGACCGCTGCGTAGCCTGGTCGTCAGCCCAAGAAGCGTCCGCGTGGCCGGTAAGGACCACTGGACTCCGCCCTCCAAGCACTAGCCCCATGCCTGACGTACTGCACAGGTAGCGCAATACCCTCTTCGCTGCAGCCATGTGCTCCGGTCTGTGTCTCCCAGGAGCAACATAGCGTGCAAGAATGCTCAGAGGGTATGCAAGGTCAGGTCGTGTGCAGGTCATCAGGTACATGAGGCAGCCAACAAGCTCCGCATACGGACCACTCGACTCTACGGACTCATCCGAAGGCAGAGCTGAGAGTGAGTGGCGAGTAGGCAGAGGAGTGGCCTGAGGCGAGGAGTACGTGAAGCCGAAGCGCTGAAGGACCTGCTGCACCATGTGTGACTGAGTCAAGGTAATGGTGCGGCGTGCTCTGTCCCGAGTGATCTGCAAGCCAAGGTAGCTGCGCAGTTCACCCAGGTCTGTGCACGTGTGTCTCTTCAACAGCTCGGACTTCACGTAGGCGAGTCTAGCAGTGTCCGCTGTGGCAAAGACCAGGTCGTCGACGTACACGAGGATGTAGAACGGCGGCAGGGAAGTGTCGGTGCGAAGAAACAGCGACGGGTCAGCAGTAGAAGGAGCAAACCCAAGAGCCGCAAGCGTAGTCCTCAGTGTGTCGTGCCACTCACGCGGTGCCTGGCGGAGACCGTAGACTGGCCGTCGGAGGCTCCACTGGGTGCCAGGAGGGAAAGTCCCAGTGAAGCCAGGTGGACGGCGAAGCCAGATCTCCTCGTGCAGGCTACCCTGCAAGAACGCAGTGCTGAAGTCGAGAGAGTGAAGCTCGTAGTCGCGCTGAGCGGCTATGTGCAGCAGCACCCGAAGAGTAGTCATCTTCGGGGTGGGAGAGAAGGTCTGAAAGTAGTCAACTCCCTGCCGCTGACTGAAGCCACGAGCAACGTACCGTGCCTTGAAGACAGGTGGAGAGCCCGGCGGCCGCTTCACCCTGAAGATCCACATGCCACTGACGATGTTCGCCCCAGGAGGGGGAACCGCGTCAACGTAGGTGCCTGTGGACTTCCAGGAAGCCATCTCTGCATCCATAGCTGCCTGCCACTGAGAGGAGTAGGGACCCTCTACGGCCTCCGCGTAAGAACGCGGAGTCGGGATGTCTAGTGCATCCGGGTCTCCCTCAGGGGCAAGCAGTACAGACGCGAGATGAGGTGAAGCAGCCGCTAGACACTGTAACTCCTCCTGCCTGTCCTCTAGGACGTCCGTGCCAAGAGCACACTCACCCCCGACGGACGGAGGACAGACAGACGCAGACCCAGCAACAAGACTAGCAGCGTAGTCGAGACGACAGCGAGCAGCAAAGTCGACGAGCTCAGCGACTAGAGCAGACGCAGCAGTGGACTCAAAAGAGGGGTCAGTGACGACAGTAGCAAGCAGACGCGTGACAGTGGGACTCGCAGCACGAAGAGAGTCCGACTCAGGGTCCGCAAGCGCAGGAAGAGAGGACTCAGGAGGAGAAGGCAAAGGGGCACGCAGAGGAGCAGTGGACGGACGTAAAGACATCCGGTGCGTGCCAGGGACAGGAGGAGGACGCTGACGCGAACTGCGACCACTAGCGCGAGCAGCACGAACAGGCGACGCGGGACGAGACGCAGGCTCACGACGCTCAGCAAGACCTCCAGTAGGACCAGTGTAAGGAGAGGGAGCAGGCAGTGGAGAGGAAGGCTTCAGTAGGGGCTGCGACTGGACAGGCGGTGGACCCTCTACTGGAGGAGAAAGACCAAGAACCTGCTGAAGGAGCGGAACGAAGTACGGCCGAGGCCGCGCGGCAGCTCCAGACTCAGCAGGGACAGCACCAGCACCCTCAGCGACAGCACCAGCGCCACCCACACCTCCAGCGGCAGGACCAACAGCAGCAGGCTCAGCACGAACGCCCTCAGCAGCTCCAGCTCCAGGAGGACCTGCAGGGCCAGCAGCTCCGGGACCGGCTGCACCCGCACCCTCGACGGTCGAAGAAGCTCCAGCTCCAGCTCCAGCAGCACCTCCAGACTCAGCAGCACGCCTCCAGCGGCGAGCGAACCACTCGCGCAGCTCCTGTGGAGAGAGGGGCTCCCGGCGAGACGCAGCAGCAGGAGAAACCCCAGGCTCAGCAGCTCCAGACGCAGCACCCCCAGGCTCAGCAGCTCCCAGCTCAGCACCCCCAGGCTCAGCAGCTCCCGACCCAGCACCCCCAGACCCAGCACCTCCAGGCACAGCACCCCCCGGCTCAGCACCCCCAGGCTCCGCACCCTCCGCAGTAGCACCCTCAGGCCCAGCACCCCCAGCAGTAGCACCCCCAGGCTCAGCACCCCCGCGCACAGCACCCCCAGAGTCAGCACCCCCAGGCTCAGCACCCGCAGCAGCACCAGAGTCACCAGTAACCTCGACCGGGTCAACGGCGTCTACCTGGGACACACCTGAGGGGGCAGGAACCTGAGGGGGGAGGGGGTCTACCGGGGGGGGAACCGGCACAAGGAAGTCCGGGGGAGGGGGGAGGGAAGGAGTGCGGTAGGGGAAGAGACGGTAGAAGGGGACTGACTCGTCGAACGTGACGTCCTGGGAGGACAGAACACGACGAGAGGAGGGGTGGTAAAACTGCCACCCTGGGGCGTCAGTGGGGAAGCCAAGGAAGACACAGGGAGCAGCACGAGGGGACAGCTTGTCCGCAGACAAGTCGCGGACAAACGCCCGAGATCCCCAGACACGGAACACAGACGCATCGCCAACCTTCCCCGTCCACAGCAAGGCTGGGGACATCGCTGGCCGAGAGACCCGGGGGTGAAGGTTGAGCTGATGCGCCGCGTACCTCACCGCAAACGGCCACAGAAAATGGGGGGCAGCCGCATGCATCATGGACGTACGAGCGACATCCATGACCATGCCAATGC